CCCCCCCCTATATTCACCTCTCAGATTTTGATCGCAAGGATTCGCTGACGAAAAAATGCAGCAAAAATATGATCCTAAAAAAGTACTACAAATACAACAGCAGTAGTTATGCTGCCATACTGGTGGAAACCCGTAATAATAGTAGTAAACAAAGAAAGATAATAAACTTTATAGAGCGGTTTCAACTCCAGTGAAAGGATATGACTGAAAACCCCAAAAATCAACAGCATAAATATAACAATTGCACGCCAATATAACAACCCCTAATATTCCGGCATAAGAGAAAACAAAGTTATAACAACTTATTTTAAAGTGACAGGCTCGAATCCACAGTGCGATAAGGCAAATCTTATAATTAAAACAAATGGCATGTGGCATTCACAACAAAATCACAGAGAATCAGGTTATCACAATGAAGTGGAAGAAATCTGCGTGGCAATATCACCGCTGACTATTTTGAACATTAACAAAATAGGAATCATTGCAAAACTATCACATAATGATATGAGGCTCCGGTACATTGCTGGCAATACATTTGTGTGGCAACACTTGGGCTCCGTTGAGATAGAGTTCGTCGTTCACAACCTAAACGGCGGTCCTAAGTAAAAGTAAGTGATTTACAAAAAGACGTTTTCCACAAACTTACGACATCATCTCCAATCACACTGTTGTTTTCAATGCGTACCCATCTCCCTATAGAGCATTTCCGCCCGACGATGCTTTGATTTATCCAGGAATGTGTTCGAACGATGGAATCGGACAACACCGTACTATGGCGTAAACAAGCACCATCTTCCACCCGCACTCTCGGTCCAATTACCTGAATGAACAATTAAAATCTTTCCTTAAGTTGGGAAAAGAAGCCTGGAATGGAATCAACCACAGATTACAAATGCCGAGATCGTATACATACCAATCACAAAGTTGAGACAGCTGTCAAATTCAAGGCGGACATCTCGGTTGAGTCTGAGCCTGCGAGAGGGATTCTAGTAGGCCTTCCTCATCAAGGAAAAAGGATAAGGTTATGTAGTTGATTAAGACTGTATTGAAATGCGCTCACGCGTTCGATTTCCACCTTATCGTGGAAACGTTTGAATGCATATTTGTCTCAATCAATGAACAGTGGGATCCGGAAAATTTAGAATCCAGTGTGTTTGTTTAGTGTTTTTAACACCCTAGACATGCCGGGCAGAAAACAACGAAACGATGATACTCTGTTTGGTTTAAGCAATATAAAGCCGGGATTTGAGTCAGCCGTATCAGCTGATGGTTTATGCACTCCTGCTGTGAGAGTAACTTCATTGGAGGCTACGAAACAACGCNCCCAGCTCTACGGTAAATGTATCAAATTCTTCTAATTATCGTCAGCGTTGTTTCGTAGCCTCCAATGAAGTTACTCTCACAGCAGGAGTGCATAAACCATCAGCTGATACGAGTGAATGATTCAGCTCGTATAAACACACGTGGATTATCGATCGACTATCATAGCGCGCGTCATCACAGTACAGCACCGGGCAGACAGTAAGAAGCTTAACTGGGCAGCAGTTGAACAAATGCATGTGGAAATGACTGAGTGCAGGGCTAGAGAGCGTATAGTTTCGATTTCAGTACCACCTGGGCCAATTCTCAGAAAGGGAAAACGCAATTAGAATCTCAGGAGTTCAACACGAGCTTTCTATCTACCCTATTCTCTAAGAAAATGTTATCATAAGCACAATACACTTTCATTGAATGCCAGTTTACCTAAGAGTTGCGACGGCCGATGTCAGTCACATGACTTCTTATATAGCGCAGATGTATCTTACAACTTGCTCATTAGCTGACGTGGTGAAGAAAACTCGAGCAAACTCCCTTCCCTCAACAAGGGTTCGGAAGGAGGGAAAAAAGACCAACAACGGAAACGTGATTCAAATTTTACTTGATCTTCAGCATTCCTCCTTATTTACCCTGACCCTCTCTTCTGTAAATAATCAACGAAGTTCAATGTAACTGTGTCAATGCTATTCCAAAAAAGGGGTAAAAAATAGAACTATTTGGTGATAAAGGCAAAAATATGTGAGATGATCAAGCGAGATACTCATATGGGTAATAGCTTATAGTCCTGTGAATAGCTGATGTCAAATTCATGAACGATAACTTACCACATTGGGACCAATGATGCAGTTGTTTCCGATCTTAGCCGATGAATCTATCAAGACATTTCCTTGTATGGATTCACCTTTGGCTAAAACTGAAGGTTCCGTTCGACGTTTATGTTCCAAAAACAACGACATCCCTGAAATTAAAGTTAAAAGACATAGCTACTGATAATAGAAAATTTGGCCAACCCTTCAGAAAATCTTTCGGTTGTCCAACATCCATCCAGAAACCGGAAAGAACAAAAGCGAAGAGAGTGCGAGCTTCAGCCATTTTCGGGAATATCTGGATGATGTGATTCACGAAATTTCCAACAACCAACTTAATAACCTTTTTTGGATTTACCTCCTTTTCAATACTAGTTGGACGAAGAGAAATTCGGTCAAGTATTGAAGGGCTAAATATATAGAGACCGGCGTTGATCTTGTTGCCTACGTACTCTTGGGGCTTCTCCACAAACTCAGCTATCATTCCATTGTGTTCATCAAAAACCACAACTCCATATTTCGAAGGCTCCTCGACCTAAACGGAAAAGGTGCAACACAGAACGATGCATAGGAATGTAGAAAGGTAGCTAGATAGGAGTTTGAGCACTGGTTGGTTTGGCACTTCGAAACCAAAAAGTAAGCAACGCACTTGTGTAACAGCTATGGTGCCCTCACAACCGTGTGATAGATGAAAGTCTATCATTTCTTGAAAAGGGAATTCACAGATGACGTCCGAGTTTAGTACGAAGAAGGGTTCCTCTCCATCCAGGTACCGTCTGAAAAGAATGACCACTGGTTCGGTCTATACCTCCACTACCTAAGCGCCATGAAGAGACTCGAATCACTCTTCTGTGACTCACTACAAATAGATTATTCCAACTTACCTAGCAAGAGCAAGTGGTCCTGCAGTTCCCAGAGGTTCTTCTTCGAGTGAAAAATGCACCTGGATCCCTAGCCTTTCCGCATGCACCTTCATTTCCTGTTCTAGTTGTTCAGCGCGATAGCTTAAGAAGCAAAATCTATGTCACAGACTGCTCAAGTCGGACTGGAAGAATCAAACGAGAAAAGGAATAAGACAACGGCTGACAGAGACGCTAGTGAAGCCAGTAACTGTGTGGACAATCCAACGCCACCGCTGTTCTTGCTCTAGTCGTACGCATTTATTACTCCCAGCACGGAGTTTAGAAACCAAAACGATACCAGACTGATCGTCGAAACATATAACTTTCACTATTTTCTCGGTCTCATAGAGCCGAAAAGCGAATTGGTAAGCAGCCCACATAAGGTGAGGATTTCGTCCATTTCAGGTTGGACTCTACACATGCCCAGTATGCTCAATACGCGCGAAGAACCCGCGGGAATCATTTCAGTTCCTGCCTAGAAGCGGGGATGCTCTAACTGAAGTACTTACCTTGGGTGAGAACAAGTTTATTATGACATAATGAAGTGAAAAGTTGCTCACCTGACAGCTAACACAACAGTGGTGACTCCAACAGTTGCGAGGGCTTCGATTTGATGCAACATCATTGGTTTGTTTGCGAATTCAACCAACGGCTTAGGTTGCGTCAAGGTTAACGGCCGTAGTCGAGTCCCATACCCACCCACAAGAATTAATGCCTTCATTCCACGGAAAAGAGTTCCTGAAAATCGGATAGATCAAATCTCTGCAAAGCTCACAAAGTCACTACTACCGCCACTTCCGGCTGAAGTTGCTAGAAATGCTTTCAGATTTCTTCACAATGAAAAGACAGGGGTTACTTCAAAATAAACTCCTAATTCATGCAGACACCGAAAATGTGAGTTTCTGTGATTCAACGCATCATATGAACCCCGTCATCACCAAAGGTGTCCCAGAAATCAAATATTCTATTAAGTCTTGCAGGTTTTGCAAAAAAAAGCTGTGCCAACTATGTAAATCAGGCCTTTTAGGAACAAACAGGTTCCCAGAAACGGTCAGCTCCCCACAGCCAAATATTTACCAAGAAAGTGACAAATTACTTTAAAGTTACGTATGACGTAACCACGTTTCACTATTTTACAGAAATGGAAAGTGCCATGAAAGTACACAAACTAGACAACTGTTCCTACAGTAGCTGCGTTTCTGCCTCATTAGTTAGAATCAGGAGACGAGAGCCGCGCCATTGCACATGAAACGGTGCAGACGTATGGCAGATATCCGCAGTTTCTTCAAATTGGTCAAATTGAATAAGCACGCGCCCTAATTTTTCATTTTGCCTCCTGGAAGTTTTTCTCAAAGGCGTCATTGAGCTTTTTCCTTGAGTTTGAGTGTCTGGGTCCTCACCTATTCTGCTGGCATCATAGGATTCTTGGCTTACTCTTACTTCCGGCCTGTTTTCGAGCACCCCTGCTCTTTTAAGAGGTTGCTGCAAATCCAACCAATCTTTTCTGCTTCCCTTAACGTTTGTTGCACCTGAGGGAGCGGGTAGTATATCAGCCGATGCATGGCACTGTAACATGTTTTCAAAGGAAAATTTATGTAATTTGTCCTCCTCCTTCCCCTTACCCACCCTTGATCGTTGTTTGTCATCGCAAACGAAGAAAAACTGTAGGAACAATTGACGAGTGCAATGGGGAAGGTTATTCAAGGACCAAGTTCATGGGAAGAGAGGGGGGTTCGCACTAGTGATCGATTTTCTCGTCGATGCTACGGATGACCTCGTTGATAGAGAAGAACGCACTTCCACACTAGACGAGAATCTTGCCATGTTCTGCAGCCAGCAGTGCGGAGCGGTTTCCGCGCGCTAATCCATTTTTCTGATCGGCGTCTGCGCATTCGTTTAGGGTCGACGACTCACTCTTCGACACTCAGTTCCTCGAATTATTGACTTGACTAGTTCGCTTTTTAGCCACAACCACGATGACAGTGTTTCTGCGGGTTTTACACGTTTTTCCTCAGCACTACCTTCAACTTGGTCATTTCTTTCTTTGCTAGAGAAAAATAGTTGTTATAACCTTGACCGACATAATTCTTACCCTAAATAGAAGGTACATTTTTTGAAGCCATTGAAGTCACAATAGCAAATCAATCTCCCTCTTAGTTTTTAAACAAGTTGTAGTTAATCCTAATTCTTAATTTCCTTAACTTACGTTTCGTCGCTATATCGTTCTAGACGGTTTCCACGACATTTCCTGTTTAGTTTGGTATCAACTTGTATCTCTCCTTCGTCTCTAAAATCATTTCTATTACAGGGAACAATCATTTGAATCTCACGAACTCTACTCAGAATGGGTCGCAAAAAGAAGAAGATTGAAAAGCCTTGGTGTTGGTTAGTTCTTTCCTTAATTCCTTTTTTTTGACAAAAGTTGACCGATTTCGGATTGTCGGATTCAAAGAAGTGCTGCGAAACTTCAAGTAAATTACTTAGAGCGCCTGCGAACTATCAATCTTTTTGGGAGCCGATACAGTTATATGCCTTCGTCACTGTAGAACAAGTGAACTGTATATGTGGGAAGAAAGTTAATGGCATTAGAACCTGGAACAAAAGTCGAGCTAGAAACACAGCAGCTCTGGCTTGAGAATATTCGATGGTTGAGCGTGGTGTTACAATATAGAACTCTCGGATGAAACCAATTACAATTAACAATTGCTAGGGAAGAGTTAAAGTTTAAAAAAAGTTAATAGCAGCTGGACTTGGATGATTATTCAGTAATGGTGAGGTTGCACATAAGTTTGTGCAAAATTGTGGGAAGGGGATCCGAAGTTCTACCATTGCTATCATAACGGATGAGGAAGCGTCAGTGGTTTAAAAAAAGCTCCTTCTCGCCCTAATTGGTCTGAAAATTTGGAAGAGATTTTTAAAACAATTTGCTAGCAACACCTATTCCGCAGGTACTGCAATCGAGAATTCGACGACGAAAAGGTTTTGATTCAACATCAGAAGGCCAAACATTTCAAATGTCATATCTGCCACAAAAAGCTGTTTAGTGGACCAGGACTAGCTATTCACTGCATGCAGGTAATTTCCGAAAAATTTGTCCCTCTTGTTTTTCATTTCGTTGCGTTTTTACTATACATGAAAATGATCATACTGGTAAGCGCTTTTTTGTGGGAAGAGAATTCATAGTCTCTTCTCAGAACGCGCATTGTATGAGCTCGTTGATGAAAGAGGCAGTAAGTTTTATATGCTCTTTTCTGAATGCTAAACATAGGTGCACAAAGAAACGATCGACAAGATCCCGGGTGCTGTCCCCGGTAGGGACTCATCACAGATGGAGATTTATGGTATGCAGGGTATACCACCCGGAACTTCTAGAGGAGGTTTGTCTTCATTACTTTTTCTTTTTTCTTAAATGTTTTCACATCACGGATCAACTCCCACCCCATCGTCTGAAATGGATTGTGATACCGGTGAGAAAATTCGGGCGTGGCGCTGTCGATTTTTTCGATTCAGCAAAGCGTTTCTTTTGTCACGGGTATGATGCGGCCTTGGATAGCACAATTATCACTTCAATTGAGCTATCTAGGGAGCACTACCTAGTGTTTCGCCTCGCGAGGGGCTACTAGGATTGTTTTGAGTTATAGCTTCCCAATTGACCCATTTTTGCTTTCTTTCATCGCGTAGTAAAACTTAGAAAGGGGGTAATGCACAAGTGCGGTCGTTTCTCGAGTAGTCTTCGTGATTTTTAAAAGGACGTCCAAAATGAATAGTATTATTGATAGTCCGCTGAACAATGAAAGTAAAGTTGTAGTGTTGTTGTTCCAAGATGTGGGGATTGTTAACGACTTTTTGTGTTATCCTCGATCTGTTCGATGTCTAAGAACTACTTTCCAGATGAGGAACCAGAGGCGAAAAGGGACAGAAAGGATGATATGCCTCCAATGCCTCCGGGACCAATGCCGGGCATACCACCGATGATGCCATTTCCACCTTTTCCTATGATGCATGGTATGCCACCAATGGTCCCTCCTGGTTAGTCGCTTTTGTGGTGTCTTAAAAGTCGATATGTTGCTCAATGTACCGTGTGGGTGATGGATGTGAGCTGCTCATTGCTTGAGCTGTCATTTCCAGACATCAGCCCATTGGCGATCGTGCCTTCTAATGGAGTCTGGTATGCGGGACCGAGTGTGCGTTTCGCGGGCTGCTGCTGTTGCTCGCGGGGTGGCCACACGGTCCAAGGGGCGACCTACTTTTTTATGCGCCCATTCTTTGAGATGGTTCCATTGAAATGTCACAAACGAAGTGACAATCTATCCATAAAATGTGCGTGCTGCGTTGTAACATCACTGTTACTTTTTTAAGCTCTACTGGAAGTAGGAAACTGCTCAACTCGTTCCTGACTTTCGAGGCTTGTAGGATTCAGATCCAAAAATATCATAGAGCTTCGTCTACACGCGAAGGATATATTTGCGCTCAAATCGTCGATGGATCGGTTAGGGGCAGATAACATTGTTGTAAGAAACCTTGTAGAACCCCTACGTCAAAGTGTTTTTGGCAAGCCCCACTCTTGAGAAATTCACAATATGGAATTAAAGTCCGAAAAAAAGCTGGAGAAGACGCGCTAGTTGCTACGTGGTACATCTGAAGAAAAAGACGTGCTTATAAATCATGCCAAAATGGTCTCGTCAAAACGCACCGAGTGCCCTGAATATTTTGTTTTGAGTTTTCTTAATTTATTACACTGGTATGTGTAAATTATCACGCTTCGTTTTGCTCGTTTAATACTGTCCTTACATAAAACATGAACTTTTGTCTACTCTCATAACTCTAGTGGGATGTGAACGATTTTTGGACCACACCGTCGAGATTCTCTAGAAGGCAGTGAGCCTAGCTAATACTTGAAAACGTCAAAATTATAATAACGTACAATTAACAATGGAAATACTATCCGGCCCTAGAAGCACGATATGGTGTGGCTGATCAGCAGACCACGCGGTCGTCAATGGGTTAAGTAGCATATCCAGTTTAGCCTGATCGTGCTGTTAGTCTAATTGTCGAGAGAACCTTTGTAATTAGGTCCGTGTCATTTTTAGGCATGCATCACGGAATGCCACCTTTTATGCCTCCGCCACCCGGGATGGGTATGCCTCCTATACCTCCATTCGGTATGCCGGCACCACCACCAATATCAACACCTTCGTCTGCACCATTGGGGCCTCCTATGCCTCCAACAAAGATAGGGTAGGTGACAATGGTTCGGTGTGCAAAGTTGTCACTGATCACTCAGATTTCAGGCCCACACTCCCAGAGCCTTCCCGTGAAGTACCCAAAACAGAATGTGATACAGATTATCGAGTTGCACCTGATTATAACCGAGGACAGCACGACCGCGATGGATACAATTATGAAGTAATTAGCGTTACTACTTTTCCTTAAGTGTCCACTGACATTTTTTAAATTTTTCAATGTTAAGGGAGGAGATCACTACGGCGCTGATGATTACGGGAGTGGTGGTCCACCAAAGGACGATTACAGAGGTCACAGAGAGGATTACAGTGGTGGAGTCCCTCCCTCCGTAGGGAGGGATGACTACTCAGCTCGACCTGGGGCACCCTCCGAGGACTATGGAAGAGACGAATATGAAAAAGGCGATGGTTATGGTCGTGGTCCTCCTGCTAGACCAGATTATAATGGTCGTGGCTATCCACCACCGAATGACATGAATCGTGACTATCCGCCGCGTGGAATGCCACCACAGAGCGATGATTATTCAAGGGGTCCAGGTGAGTAATTTTTCTACTCCTTTATTCTAACGATGCCCCAAAAACTCGAAGAAAGGGTGTTCCTCGTGGCCAGACTTTAAAATTCAGTTCATCTGTAATATAAATTATGTGGGCTGAAGACGCCAACGCGTGCTTATGTTCGATTTGAGCTTGACCTATCCAGGTGCACACCTACTCTATTGAAGATCGGACCATTTGAATGGGCATATTTTGATTTTTTCCGAATGTCCGGACTATCGTACAGTTGATCTACGAAGTTGTTCGGTTGAATTCGCCCACTTGGTTTTCCTTCATCTGATTTGCTGACCATTCTCTCTCGCATTTCCCCATTTTCTCAAGTACCTTGGCTTTTCTGATGCCAAATTAGGAAGTTGCCCTGTCAGTGGTCAATCTGATGCATGTCCTTCCTGCTGCTCTCGTGTGCTCTGTTAATATTCATCCAGGCCCAACCTAATCTTGACCCACCTAGAAAGACAGACTGCAGACAGAGAGATGGATGCCAGCGAAGGTTTTCGTATTCATTCACTTATATTTCCTTTGAAGGTTCTCGTTTTGATCGCCCGCCTGATGACCGAGGAGACAGAGGAAATGATATGTACGGCAGTTCCATGTACAACGGAAGCGGAGTTGTAAGTTGATTTTTAAACCATAGAACGAAGCTTTAAGTTTCAGTGCCGTTAGTGGCATTTACGCTGTAGGTTCTGCTCTTATTCATTGAGGCTACTCTACGTCTAACTAGTCAGACAGCTTAGGAAAGTTTACCTCTTTGTATTGAAAGATATGCTTGTTACAGAGTTCTCAATCGTCCGTCTTAAACTCCTCTGCCGCCGCGGTTGCTAATAAACTTGGGGCCAAGACGCGTATAATTCATCCTGATGATCATCAAACAACGTCATTGGTACAGTTTTGATTATCTTTGTTTGTGTGATTGTTTACGATAGCTTAATATATGGCTTTATAGAGCAAGTAGTTGAAATAACGGTGAGAACACTAACAAGCATGCGATATTTCAGTTAGTTAGGATTAGTAGACCTCGAGTTGGATAGAATGACCTTAGAAATATTTTAAAAAATATATCAAAAATCAGAACTGATTTGGTCCCAACATTTTGTACATATGATCCGTATGATTTCTGTTTTCTGGAACTGAAATAAACTCGCAACCCTTACACGAGTTCTCAATTTTATAAGCCTCATTCTGGTTGCTACTAATTTTTAGTCTGTACCAAAATATATACTCTTAGTCCATTTACGAGGAGTGTCTTGTATAACGCCGAGCTTCTATGTTGTGGTTTTTCAGGAAGAACGACGTGCGATGATGATGATGTCCTCCAGGGGTCAATATCATTAAGCTTATACACTCATCTCATGATTTCAGTGGTAAACAACAGTGAAATAAGTATAACTTAATTTTGGTTGTAATTAATCTTTACTGCATTATGTCAAAATTATTAAAATGCCCTCTCTTCAATTTGTTTATTTGTTGTATTTCAATGAATGTTGAGTTGTTTTCTTTTTCAGTTGAATGAATGTTGTCGAAAAGAAGTGAAAAGGAAAAGAATTGAATGGACGAGTTAGATATGGTGAAAGCACTACAAAACTGTCCATCGCTTTGGTCAGCAAAAGATAGATTCATAATGTCGTAACGATTTCTTCCTTTCCATTTCCTGTTCGTTTTCATAGTCCATGCTGCAGCCATAGGGTGCGGGATTTCCTCCTCTTCATCACGTCATCTGCAACTGTCTTGCTGTTATGGTCCACTTTTCTACCAGTTTACCAATTTGAAGCTGTAGGTTTCATGATTATAAATGCAAATGCATCCTTCGGGACATTATGGCTATACTTCATTGATATTATGATGAAAAAATTGCTGTTGTGATAATCGACACATCAAAAAAGTTGTGGAGCAAGTTTTCCATACGACTTGGGTGAAAGTTTGTCATTTTTTTTCGAGTTCCTACCACATGGGCTGCTCGATAGGTATAGACAAGTTTAAAAGCAGTAGGCAGATTTGCTTTCGTTGTATCCGCCCTACTCCCTCCACAGGAAGGCCTTGAATGACAGTTTAATTCGGAAATTAGTAATTTCTTCGCATGAAACCATCAAATGACAAGAAACTTCCAGTTGCCCAAGCTGACCAAGAGCTGGTTGTTACGGTGCATTGAACTTCGAAAATTTGTAAATTTTCATTGGAATTGCCCCTTTTTTTGAACATTCTCGACAAATCCTTACTTTGCTCAAAGTTTGAGTCGCGTGAATACACCGGGTGGGATAGAGGGACGGAGGGAGGGTGGAGAACACGTGTTATTCATGCCTGGCAACCGTTTGTCTTACCGCTACCCATATTCACGCTCGGAGTCTTTTTTCGATGCATCGTATATGTGACACGGCTGATGGGGTAGCCATTTGTATATTTTGTTGGTGATCATTTGCAGACTGCTACTGCGAGTAGTTATAAACAGCCGGCGCCGGCTAAGGGATGTGCCCCATAAGTAGATCCCAGTTGGGGTGACCTGCTCTAAACTTGTCAATCAACCTCAACGAGGCTTAAACAGTACAGCCCCAGTATAACCCCCGCTTTTCCAAAATGGTAGCGGAGGAGAGTGGTACACAGTAAAAGGCTGTGCTTA